TCTTTAATCTGAGAAAAGACACAATTCCTAACTTCTAATTCGTGCAATTCATCTCGACTCCTAAATAGAGATAAGCCTACGTCTAATACACATTGCCGGTTTAGTCTTTCACCGATTGAAAAAAACACCAGAATCTAGTCTGGGGTATTTTATCCCGAAGCCTAAGTAGGGATAAGTCAACGCTTAACCCGCGTTGCTGGGTGGTTCGTTCTCATAAAAACGACCGAGTCTATGTATTCAGCATCGTAGCAACAAAAATCCATGCCTTTTATGCATGGGGAATTTTGTCCCGAAGCCTAAGCAGGGATAAGCCAATGCCTAACACGCGTTGCCGGTTTAGTCTTTTACCGATTAAAAAAGACACCAGAATCCAGTCTGGGGTATTTTATCCCGAAGCCTAAGTAGGGATAAGTCAACGCTTAACCCGCGTTGCTGGGTGGTTCGTTCCCATAAAAAACGACCGAGTCTACGTATTCAGCATCGTAGCAACAAAAATCCATGCCTTTTATGCATTGGGAATTTTATCCCGAAGCCTAAGCAGGGATAAGCCAATGCCTAACACGCGTTACCGGTTTAGTCTTTTACCGATTGAAAAAGACACCAGAATCCAGTCTGGGGTATTTTATCCCGAAGCCTAAGTAGGGATAAGTCAACGCTTAACCCGCGTTGCTGGGTGGTTCGTTCCCATAAAAACGACCGAGTCTACGTATTCAGCATCGTAGTAACAAAAATCCATGTCTTTTATGCATGGGGAATTTTATCCCGAAGCCTAAGCAGGGATAAGCCAACGCCTAACACGCGTTACCGGTTTAGTTTTTTACCGATTGAAGAAGACACCAGAATCCGAGTCTGGGGATTTTCATCCTGAATCCTAAGTAAGGATAAGTCAACGCCTAATACGCGTTGCCGGGTAGCCTGTTCCCGTAACAATGGTGAAGTCTACGTATTCGAAGTCGTAGCATCAAGTCTAAGGGAGTTCATTCCTTTAGCACAACGTCACATTCGGAACGGATGTAAACAATCCGCTTGCTAGCCCGACTCGAACGGTAATCGGTAAAGGCACATCAAATCCGTTTATGGCTGAAGATTTGCCAAAAATCCTAAGTCTACGTCTAACACACGTTGCCGGGTAGTCTATTCCCGTGAGAAAGACGAAGTCTACGTATTCAATATCGTAGCACTAAAATGGTTAACTCTTTTAGCACAACGTCACATGTGGAACGGACTTAAACAATCCGCATGCTAGCCCGACTCAAACGGTAGTCGGTAAAGGCTCATCAAACCCGTTGATGGCTGAGAATTTGCCAAAAATTCTATAAATGCGAGTCATTGACGCACCAGCTCCATTAGTTGGTCTCGTGACTTGAGCATCCAACAAATTCAGGATAAAATCCACACATGCAGAACATTTGGGACCGCCATGCTCCAATACCTTAAGAGATTAAACTGTGTATACTCCAGTAAACGTACGAGTATAAACTGTGTCAACGTACGACGTTCGAAACCCTAGGGTCAACGCCGGTCAACGTGTAACCCTAGGTCAACGTCAGTCAACGCGTTGCGACCAACTAATCAACATTCGACATTCGAAACCCTAGGGTCGACGCCGGTCAACGCGTAACCCTAGGTCAACGCCAGCCAACGCGTTGCGACAAAAAGTCAATATTCGACGTTCGAAACCCTAGGGTCAACGCCGGTCAACGCGTAACCCTAGGTCAACGTCAGTCAACGCGTTACGATAAAAAGTCAAAGTTCGACGTTCGAAACCCTAGGGTCAACGCGTAACCCTAGGTCAACGTCAGTCAACGCATTGCGACAAAAAGTCAACATTCGACGTTCGAAACCCTAGGGTCAACGCCGGTCAACGCATAACCCTAGGTCAACGCCAGTCAACGCGTTGCGACAAAAAGTCAAAGTTCGACGTTCGAAACCCTAGGGTCAACGCCGGTCAACGCGTAACCCTAGGTCAACACAATGTGACGGAGGTAGTTCAAAGTCAACTCAATGACACGAGCCAAATTCAATTCATCAACTGTAGACTCGAGACTCCGACGACGGCCAGACGATAAACGCAGCACCGGAAGAACTTCGGTTATTCGTCAAAGCATCGAATAGACCGAAAATCAAAGGAGCCAAGAGTTGAAGCTAACTACAGGTCCTTTACGCCGACTGAAGGTTGGACCAATCACATCCAAAGTATTCCAGCCTCTTCTATAAAAGAAACGAGTCTGGAACGCTTTGGAGAGGGTATCTGTAGGCATCGAAAATCGCCTATAGGTCTCTACGAACAGCTCAGTGTTAAGGAACGACGATGAACGTCACTATCCGGTTCACAAAAGCTTGATTGATGTCGGTAAACGTTTGAAGTGAATCGACGAACTACGTGAACTGACAGAATTTCGAATTCCGGAACTACGAAGGCACGGGCTAATCGAGAGCCCCGTGATGTTTACAAAAGGAACAACGCCCTTCGTGTCTCGTTCATCCTACAGATAATCCAACCATCGGAGCTGATAGAACTCTTCGTCAGACTTCCAACGCACTTCGAATCACTAAAATCCGAGTTCGGACGAAGAATTTACAGCGGAAGCGGACGAATGCACCTCAACGGAGCGTCTCGGTCAATGCGAGACACCCAAGGGTGTCTCGGATTTTCCGAGACACCCCAGGGGTGTCTCGGATTTTCCGAGACACCCCAAGGGTGTCTTGGATTTTTCGAGACACCCCTGGGGTGTCCCAACGTAGATTTGACCCCCTAAAGCGGTTTTAACCGCTCCGCAACCCCTCATGCCTATAAATACAAGCCTTAGGCCTCATTTTTTCAGATCTGGAATTTTTGGTGCCTCGGCGAAGCCCTGCCGGATTGAAGACTTAAAGTGCACAGATTTCAAGAGAGGAGGGGGAGAGATCGGATCTAGTTCTTCAACGCAAGAGAGAGAGTTTCTTCATCAGATCTACATCACCCGTACCCGATCCTTAGTATTATCCCGTTGTGGTAATACTAAGAAGAGCAAATATCTCGCTTTTATCGAGATAGGCGCTTCAAGTTTCTAGATCTCCTCGCGGATCGACGAAGCTCTGCCTAATTTTTCAGCAATCAGATCTGATCGACGGTGGTCCACGGATAAACCCCGGCACAGGCAAAGATCCCACGCAAGCAGAAGACCGATAAACGATCTCTGCGTTTGTTTGATAAAGTTGTAAACTTTTTTTTATTTTCATTGTGTAAGGAGATCTTATAAAAAGATCAACTTTTTATTTTATTCGACTTTATTGTAACGACTAAAGTTGTAATAGATTCGATAGCAATGGAAACAACAACTTTCACAGCAAACACCCCCTCTAGTTGAAAATTTTGGAAAAGATTTTAGATATAATCATGTAATGAACAAGATAAAACAATGGAAGAGAAAGATTGCACCTGTGGAGATCCTGATGAAAAATAACTCTGGTTTTGGTTGGGACCCTACCACACAGAAATTTACATGTCCCGACGAAGTGTGGAATGGCATTTTAGAGGTTGGTTTATGTCATGTTTCATATATATTAATTTGAACATAATATTAATTATTTTTATATGTCATGTTTTAGGCACGTCCAAATACTCCAAATCTCAAGGATAAACTTTTCGAGAATTTTGAGGATATATTGATGGTATGCGGAGATCATGGCGCTTCTGGCAAAGGAGCTATAGGTTTAGGTCCTGATGGCTTGGATGAAGCACGCTTAGAGGAAGTGGTTGGGGAGGGAATACTTGGTGCTGATGCTGAGATGGAATCTCCGGATGTAGGAGATGCTACTGTAGAAGTACAACATGCTACCACTGTTCCCAGTGATAATGTGCCATTTTCTGGTTCTGGACCATCCAATCTGAATAATAGTAAACGAAGGCGTAGGTCAATTGGTACTACAGCCACATCTTCTGCATCTTCCCAATTATCATTGCAAGAGGTAGGAGAGGGAGTTGTCACTGTAGGTAAAGCATGATGAGTTGAGGAAGATAAGAAAAGGTCGGAATAAAGAATGGGTTGATGCTGTTATGTCTACTTCTGAATTGACTAAGCCACAAAAATGGAATATACTCAGTGACAATATCTCACAGGACATGAAGGATGCCTTTATTGACATGGATGCAAAAGACCGCTATGAGTTTCTACATTTTAGGTTGACCGGTGAGATAATGAATGATGGTAAGGATGAGACTCAAGCCAATTCTGATACAAATGGTGAAGATTATGATTCTGATTTCTTTGGAGATGTTTAGAGGCAGTAATTTAGAAGTTTAGGATATTTATATGTTTTTTAAGATATGTTATGGTGTTAGGATTATGTGGAATTTCATATTGTCAAACTATTTTTTATTGAGTAGGTGGAACTTGGGGTAATGTCATGTTTTTTTTAAAGATTTGGAAAGTATTTTTAGGATCAATTTCATTTCAATTTGTCAAAATTATTTATTTTTAGGATATTTCTATTCTTTTATTTATTTGTTTATATTATGTTCTTATGTTATTTGACTTGTCAGCTATCTTAGTTTGGTGCATTTAATGGATGAAGTTTCTATTATATGTATCATCCCAACAAATGATTCTTGTATGTTGTGTAGATGAGAGTAGTGAAATATTATGTTTTCTTCTATTTTTCAATAGTTTGGTGATTAACGGTTAGCATACAGGTCAATATTTTTTAATTGATTGCTACTTTGTGATCGGTCTCATTGTGTGCTAATAATAGAGTGCTTTATTTATTTCCTATGCACATAAGTTTCATGTAAATTGATTATATTTCATTGGTTATATTATTTAATAGGATGGAGGAAGATCAAAATTTGCCCATTTTATATTTTCATCACGAAGACTTCGATGATAATCTTTTGATTCGCATAATCGAATTAGCTGCTAAGGCTGCAGATCTAATCACAAAGGTATCAGGATGTCTATCACAGGAGTTCATAGCAAATACGCTTAATTTTCAAAGTCCTCGACGTGGTATTACAGATCTTGGTCTCACATACTTACAGTCCAAGATGGATAATCATCCTCAAGATTTTCGTAGAATTTACCGTATGTACCCAGATTGCTTCATGAAGTTATGCAATATCTTGAGAGAGCGGGGTCATATACAAGACACATACCACATTAGTGTTGAGGAGATGATTGCTATTTTTCTTCTCACGGTTAGTCAGAATCAACGATACTCTGTTGCAACTGATCGATTTGATCGTTCAAAATGGACCATCAGTGTATGTTTCAATAAAGCATTACATGCATTGGTATCTTTAGCATCATGCTTGATGGCATCACCCCCTACTGATCCACCTGATAAGGTTAAATCAGAATCTCGCTTTTGGCCTTATTCAAGGTAATTATTAATTGCTTTAGAATTTACACACACGCAGACACACACACGTGCACACATGCGTGCGCGACCACACACATATCACTTGAGATGGTCTGACACATTGATTATTCAGGACTGTATCGGTGCAATAGATGGGACTCATATACCGTGCATGGTGTATAACATATATGAGACGCCATATCGAAATAGACATGGTTTTCTCTCTCAGAACGTCTTGGCAGCTTGCACATTTGATCTCAAATTCATTTATGTCTTAGCTGGGTGGGAGGGTTCTGCTAATGATGCAAGAGTCTTGAAGTCACGTTCCGTTTCCCCGGTATTTTGGGAAGCGGGGCGTGACTAATATCTCTTCATCCAAAGAAGACTGTGCTATCTTCTGAGAGATTAGAGATCATCAAAAGGGAGATTCGAAAAGTTTGACAGAAGAACCAACACATGCATTGCACTTGCGATTCCATTGAGAAATATTGCTAAGAGGAGATTGAGTTATCTTCCAAATAATTTAGCTGTCATCAACAACAAAAGACCTATTGTCTTACTTGGCGCGTCAGCGGAGTAAAAAATGATGCTCCACAAGCACACACAAAAGAACCCCAAGAAATATAATTTTTTATTTCACTAAATTTCTTTTATTGTAATATGTGTCAATTGCAATATGAAAGAACCCGAAACAAGAACTTGTGAGCATGTTAGAGTGGTGAGAGCTCATGAATTAATATGGCATCAAAAGCATTAATGTCATGGCCTCCTCCTCCGTCTCCTCATCCTTTGCTATCAATAACCATGGCGACAATCTCAACTATTCTAAGCAACACCCTAGTGCATCATTTTTTTAATCTCAACCCAACCAACTACTTGCTATGTCAGACCTTTTGAGATCGTAATAGAACATTGGCTACGATTTGTAGTTAGAAATCTTACTTGTTCATATGTATTAATTTGTTTTGTTTGTACCTCCTTGTAATTGTTTATAGGGAAAAATGCTTCCAGCCCCCAAAAGCCAAGTGAACATGCTTCCCACCCCCAGGACTTGGTCAATGGGTGTTTTACCCCTAAAAATAAAGATTTTGTTCTCTGAGCCCCCAAAACACAAAACCCAAGACATTAAAACATGTGAAGACCATAATACCCTTCTCTCTCTCTTTCTTTTTTTATTAAAATATGATGGGGATTATTTTATTATTTTTGTTTTCTCTCTCTCTTTACCATGATGTACCAAGAGGATCTTTAGATAGGTAACCCTAACAATTAAACCCGTAACCTTAACAATTAAACCCGTAACCTTAACAATTAAACTCGTAACCTTAACAACAAATCCGTAACCTACACAATAAATCCACAACCTTAACAACAAACCCTTAACCTTAACAACCAACCCGTAACCTTAACAATCAACCCGTAACTTTAACAACCTCCCAATACAAACAACCAAAATAATAAAAAACGAAAATAATAAAATAATCCTCATCAATCATTTCAACTATCCTCTTGGTACATCATGATAAAGAGAGAGAGAAAACAAAAATAATAAAATAATCCCCATCATATTTTAATAAAAAAAGAAAGAGAGAGAGAGAGGATTCATAACCTTAACAACAAACCCTTAACCTTAACAACCAACCCGTAACCTTAACAATCAACCCGTAACTTTAACAACCTCCCAAAACAAACAACCAAAATAATAAAAAACGAAAATAATAAAATAATCCTCATCAATCATTTCAACTATCCTCTTGGTACATCATGATAAAGAGAGAGAAAAAACAAAAATAATAAAATAATCCCCATCATATTTTAATAAAAAAAGAAAGAGAGAGTGAGAGAATTCATAACCTTAACAACAAACCCTTAACCTTAACAACCAACCCGTAACCTTAACAATCAACCCGTAACTTTAACAACCTCCCAATACAAACAACCAAAATAATAAAAAACGAAAATAATAAAATAATCCTCATCAATTACTTCAACTATCCTCTTGGTACATCATGATAGAGAGAGAGAGAAAACAAAAATAATAAAATAATCCCCATCATATTTTAATAAAAAAAGAAAGAGAGAGAGAGGATTCACAACCTTAACAACAAACCCTTAACCTTAACAACCAACCCGTAACCTTAACAATCAAATCCACAACCTTAACAACAAATCCACAACCTTAACAACAAACCCTTAACCTTAACAACCAACCCGTAACCTTAACAATCAACCCGTAACTTTAACAACCTCCCAATACAAACAACCAAAATAATAAAAAACGAAAATAATAAAATAATCCTCATCAATCATTTCAAATTTCAACTATCATCTCAGTACATCATGATAAAGAGAGAGAGAAAAAAATAATAAAATAACCCCATCATATTTTAATAAAAAAAGAAAGAGAGAGAGAAGGGTATTATGGTCTTCACATGTTTTAATGTCTTGGGTTTTGTGTTTTGGGGGCTCAGAGAACAGATTCTTTATTTTTAGGGGTAAAACACCCATTGACCAAGTCCTGGGGGTGGGAAGCATGTTCACTTGGCTTTTGGGGGCTGGAAGCATTTTTCCCTTATTTTTAATATACAATTATTAACAATAATAATTTATACTCACCGTTACCCCCACCAAATTATCCCTTTCATAATATTATCCACCATTATCCTATTAAATTATCCTACCAAATTATCCAACTTTAAGAATTATCCATCATTGTTCCACTAAATTATCCCAGTGTTTATCCTACCAAATTATCCAACTTTAAGAATTATCCATCATTGTTCCACTAAATTATCCCAGTGTTAAAAATTTATCCCACTTTACCAATTATCCCATCATTGTTCCACTAAATTATCCCAGTGTTAAAAATTTATCCCACTTTACCAATTATCCCAGTTCTACTTAAAAAGTTCTAGGTGACTAATATAGTCATTTTAAAAACACACATTTGATTGTCAATTTATATATAAACCACATTTAAATTATTTTTTGTTGCAACCAACTGGTTGGACTCACTTTTAAGTCAAGTATATTGGATGGTTTATATATAAATTGACAACTAAGTTATGTAGAATAACATCTAATACTATACTATTATAAAAGTGAGTTGCTATGTTAAAACATTTCTTCCCAAAGTGTCCTCAAATTTATGTTAAATCATATACATACATAACATAACACATACACAAAACATACAAATTTATGTTAAAACGCATACATACAAAATATAACACATGCATAATAAAACATATAGATACATGCATAAACCATAACTATGTATATTTATAGTTAACACTTAATGACGTATAAACCATAACTATGTATATTTATAGTTAACACTTAATGACGTTTTAATTGATACATGCATAATTATGTTACAATTTATTTATAGTTAATTAATAGTTACCTCAACGTATGTTACAATTGATGTCATATGTTACAATTTATTTATATTGGGGTTAACACTTGCTGAATTAATTGCTGAATTAATAGTTTATTCATATGTTACAACGTATGTTAACACTTGCTGATATTAATTCCACGTGAATTCTTGGATGACATTTATTTGAGCAAACCAATTGTTTACCGATAAATGTCACATACAAACCAATGCACGTGAATTCTTATGTTGCTTTCTGAATTAATATCATCAGTTACAATTGATTTTTTCCCCCTCATAACTATGTAGTAAATGTTATTTACACTTTTGTCTCTTCTATCTCATATAAATATACTCCATACTCAACTTCCATTTTACCAAATCTTATCAAATCCTACCAAAAAAAAATAGAGATGGAAGCAATACTATGTAATTAAAAAAGGTTAGTAAAATCATATTTTTTGTAAGGTATAAACTCTGAATTATCTCTATAAATTATATATTTTTTCCGTGAAGCCTGTCATCTGATCAAGATGGAACTAATATGATCAAGTCAACATCGCGATCCAAGTAACACTATGTGATTCAAAAAGGTTAGTGAAATTATTTTTTTAAGGTATAAACTCCGAATTATCTCTATAAATTGTATATTTTTTTCGTGAAGTTTGTCATCTTATCAAGATGGAACTAATGATCAAGCCAACATCGCGATCCGAGAGTTAAAAATTTATCAAAAACAATGGAGTATAAATGATCGTGTCTTACGTAATACTATAGAATCCTTTAAGAATGGAGAAGGGAATAAACAAAAACTAATTCTAATTGATGAAGAGGTGATACAAATTTCACATTGTTATTATTTCATTTAATTACCATATTACCATGATTACGTAATTTATTCTACATTGTGTATTTTGCAGGGAACACTTATCCAAGCAATTTTATTTAATAAGCTGATAGAAAAGTTCAGCGGTTTATTGATAAATGGAGAGACATATACTATAACCAATGGAGAAGTAAAGCCTCCAAATTTAAAATATCCAACAATTAATCCGGAAAAGGAGTTGGCACTCACAACAAAGACAATCATTCGAGAAACAAAAAAATTTGTTTCATTGGAAAAGTTGAAATCAACATTCCTTTCATTTAAAGATGCTTCTGCTTTTGATGATGGAATAATGCCTTTGGTAAGTTTTTTTTTTAATATTATGCAAAAAAATAATTCATATTAATAATCACTAAAATTTCTCCATTGCAGATGTTGTTGGATTCGTAACAACTGTGAAACCAATTTTTATCAATCCCAAATCCAAAATAAGGGAGGTCATAATTATGAATAAAGAGTAAGAATTTAATATTATTGTTTATTATTATTTACTTATTATTTGTAAGAAAACTAATGTTTTTTTAAAAATTTAGATTTGATCAAATTTCAGCGACACTATGGGGTGATTTAGCGGAGATTGAAGGATCGTCTTTGGAGAATTTAAAAGATGCAAAACCCGTTGTTGCATTGCTACGCATAATTGGTAGACGTTATTTAGGTAAAAAAATAACGGCAAGCATGGTTTTAAAATGATGTAAAAATCTTTTTGGTCAATATACTGGTTATTTATATGCCAAATTAGTGTTTTTATGATGCTACTTATAACCCTATAACATCTATTTATATCATAAATAATATATATATTATCTATGACATCTTTCATGTATATGTCAAGTAGAAAAAAAAAATAAACAATGAAATAAAATCTATAGGGCTACATATAAACATGAAAGTATTTACACGTGCAACGCACGTGCACCATACTAGTTATTTTAAAGGTG